CCGAATACATATTACGTATGTTCTAGAGTCGTTTCTCTTTACTTAGGGCATAGGTTATAGGACGTTCTGGCAGAATGACACTACCAGTGGTATCAGAAATGAAAGGATGTTGCACAGATGTTGCATATGGGTTATTATCAAGGTTTTTGATATTTCCTTGACCACTTGTGGCCACATCCATCTCAGAGCCACTAAACTCTGGGTCAACATCACTTTCCTCTTAAAAGAGGAGTGTGAATACGACATAACATCAGTGAATCCCTGGTATTTGCCATGCTATTCGCTCTAGTTGGCACTCAATTGAACTGGTGCTCCCACAAGGTACTAAGTGGTCCCAGATTTTTTAATACTGCATACACTGAGTGTTAAGACCCATTCTATACTGACTAGGCATCTCAGGTCAATCATGCCAAATTTGGAGGCAGGAAAATTAAATGTAGATCTACCTTTGGAGCTCTAGCAGTACAAACATAGATCTGCGTTTGGACTGTTTAAAGGTTAATAATTATCTTGAACCGTGTGCATATGTCCTTTTCCACAGTTTGTTGGTTTCACCATACTATTTACAATGACTTGAACTTTTATTTACAAGACTGTAACTTATGAATGTACGAACAGCAGGCATGTGAGCATGATAAAAAGGAGTAGGTGGAGACGAATGTTTTTTTTGGGGCTTGATGAGCTGTTGCAGCATGAGCAGGGTAATGTTTTGTGAAGGGATTCAGGGAAACTGGTTAGCCGGACTTGAGTCCTAGAGGTGGGAAGTACAGTGCTTGCACTCTAAAGGAGGGGCTTGGGATATGTGCTGTTAACCCTTTGAGGGTCGACAGGCCCTCTCCGAAACTCGTTCTCAGGGTCGGCCAAATTTAAAAAAAAAAAAAATTATTTTCTCTTATGAAAAGATAGAGAATCTTTTCCCGATCATAAAGACACCAAAAGTTTGAAATTTGATAGAAAACTTACGGAATTATGCTCTCGCAAAGTTAGCGGTCTCGGCGATGTTTACGGATCGGCGATTTTGCCCACTTTGAGCCCCATTTTCGGCCAATTTCACTGTACTAGTCGACAAAAAACATGAATATTTCGCTAGAACTCCATTTTTTCTATCGAATGGATGCAAGAAACCACTCATTTATGAAATTCAACTATCCAGTACAGTGGTCAGAATTTAGCAATTTTGCCAATTTCACACAAATTTCAAAAGATGCCAATTTCGGAATAGGGTCCAGAATAAACAAGAAAGACATTCCTGGCACTAAAATGACATTTCCTCTAGTCATTAGTCATGTCTCAAGTCCCCTCTTATATTCTTTTGCTTTCCACTTTGAATTTTTATTTTCACAAAAAATATAAGATTTACTGTTATGCAGACTACTGCATTAGTGTAAAAAATGGTATAAATATTATTGGTGCACTTGTGAAAGAATATTAGACTCACCAGTTGATGTGTATTGCACTCTTGGCACGATTTGTTTACTTTTGAAGTTTGGTAAAAATCGAACATTTCTGCTACATTGAGTTCAATTTCAAGGCACCTTTCTTTGTAAAACCAGTCAAAATCATCTCAATTTCTGTAATATGTCTTCCATTCTATAAAATGAGACCAAGAAAACTAGAATACAACAATAAATACCATACGAAAATACACTGCAAAGTCGCTGATTTATTAAAAAAAAATGGTCAAAGTTTTTTTTTTCTCATTATGCACTGTGTGCTGCAGGATTTTTTTTAGACTGTGCACACTGACCACATAGACCCATTCTTTCATATGAAGGCCTACCAGCTTTCTCCCACTAGATTTGAGGCCGCTAGAATTTATGAGTACTAGTACGTCAAAAACCCCTACGCGTAAAACGTACTAGTACGACGAAAACCCTCAAAGGGTTAAGAGCAACATCTAAACTGTTGTATCTGCATGTCTCTGGCAAGACAGTCATGGAGTGAATGGTGGTGAAAGTGTTTCATTTTTGGGTTGCCCTGCTTTGATGGGAGACAGCCAGTGTGTTATATTTTTTTAAAAGAGTGGTGGTATGTAAGGCATAGACTAATTCACTAAGAGGAAGAAAAGCTATTAAGATGGTTTGTCATGTGGAAAGAATGAATGAAGCAACATAGGTTGGAGTAATAGGGTTGGATCATTAAGCATGCCTTTAGGTACTGCTGGCTGCATGTAGTCCAACATATGGACCACAGCCTGGCTCATCTGGCACTGACTTTAAGTATCGGTCCAGCTCCCTCTTGAAGGCAGCTGGGGGTCTGTTGGTAATTCCCCTTATGCTTGGTGGGAGGCTGTTAAACAGTCTTGGGCCCCAGACATATATTGTGTTTTATCTTAGTGTACCAATGGCATCCCTACTTTTCATTGTGGGTATTTTGCACCACCTGCCCAATCTTTTGCTTTCGTACATATGAAGTGAAGTGAATCTTGGAAACTGGGAAACTGACAACAGGGCTTAATTTTTGGAAATAGAGTATCTGGTCTCTGAAAGTTGGGTGGATAGGTTGTAGTTTATTCTCTATAAGGGTTACAATGTGGGGTTTACAGGTTTTGGGTATTGTGTGGTTTACATGTTATAAAATACTAATTACAGAGGGGGCCACTAGGATGCCTAGCATGGCTAGGCATTTCAAGCAGACTTAGATTAATTCTTAACATTAAATCCTTACAGATTATGGTATTAAGGCTAAGTGACTACATCATAATTTGTGAGTTTAGCAATGTGAATGCTTTTGTTTTGGCACAATATAAAGTGTGTATATTGGAGTATCATAGGCAAGCTTATGACTAGTTAGGATTTATTATTTTAAGATTAAGATTAGTATTTCTGGGTTTATAGTCAGTGGGTGAGTGAGTGTAGTTGTGAACCACCAGGTGGTTATCATGTAGTTAGTTGTTGGGGTGGATCAGGGAGATAAGATGTTTTCTAACTGTAGTTTTGAAAGTGATGAATGTGTCTGCAGTTCTAGAGTTTTCAGGCAGGGTGTTCCAGATTTTAGGTCCTTTGAAATACATTGAATTTTTGTAAAGGTTTAGTCGAACACGGGGAATGTCATAGAGATGTTTGTGTCTGGTGTTATGCCTGTGGATCCTGTCACAACTATCAAGAAAGCGTTTTAGGTCAAAGTTAATATTGGAATTTAAGGTCCTGTAGATATTTTGAGCAGCTCCTCGTTAACAGTGGTGTTGAGGGTGGCAAGATTAGGGTGGGAGATGATTTAAGTTGTGTCATCAGCAAAGAGAATGGGTTTCAGGTGTTGGGATATGTTTGGAAGATCATTGATGTAAATGAGGAAGAGCAGGGGTTCAAGGACACTTCCCTGCGGGACTCCAGTATCAAGTGGCCATATTGATGAGGCTGTGTCTTTAATGGTGACATACTGATACCTATTAGAAAGGTAGGATTTAAAATATGCAAGTGCATGGCCTCTTATGCCATAGTGGTCAAGTTTGTGGAGTAGGATGCCGTGGTCTACTGTGTCAAACGCTTTTCTTAGGTCAATAAAAATTCCTAGCGGATATTCCTTGTTTTCCAATGCTGTGTAAAGCAGGTTTAGCATTTTTATAATTGCATCATTAGTGCTTTTATTTTTCCTGAATCCAAATTGGCAGGGGTTGAGTATGTTTTGTGACGTTATAAATGAATCTAGTCTCCTGTGCACGAGTTTCTCGAAGATTTTGGATAGCAATGGTAAGTTTGATATTGGCCTATAGTTGTTTAAGTCTGTAGGGCCACCACCTTAATGTATTGGTGTAACCCTTGCTGTCTTGAGTAGTGTCGGGAAAGTGCTAGTTTCTAGTGACTTGTTAAAAAGTAATGTAATAGCATGCGAAAGGACATGGGCCGCTCGCTTGTACAATAATGGTGGGATGTAAGTCAGATTCCCCGAGGTATTTTTAAGTGACTTTATGATCGCGGTGACTTCCGTGGGCTCAGTTGGTACAAGATAGAAGGAATTTGGGAAATTCCCATCTAGGTAGCCCCCGGCACGGGCATTGGTACGTGGGATTTTACTGGCGAGATTAGATCCTATGTTTGAGAAGAAGTCGTTTATCTTGTTAGCTGTATCAGTGGGATGCAGTGGTGTTTCATGAGGTTTAGTTAGAACAATATTCTTGGTTTTTTTCAGTTTGTGGGTCCCCAGAATCTGGGAAAGTGTTTTCCAGGTCTTTTTTTATATCTCCTCTTGTGTCAGTGAATCTGCTGGAGTAGTACAGTTGTTTGGCTTTCTTTATTAATTTGGTGAGAACTGTTGAATATTGTTTAAGAATATCTTCGTGTATTAAGCCCTGTGTATATTGCTTTTCATATTGGTGCTTCTTATCAATGGATTTCAGAATGGTGCTGGTTAGCCATGGGCAACCAAGCCGTTTGTTTGTGATCTGTTTCGTTTTTATAGGACAATATTTGTTGTAGAGTCTAAGTATTTTGTTAAGAAAAATGTCTGTCCAATCATCAATACCATTGGCATTGGAGAATTCTGTAGGCCAGTCAACAATCTCTAGGTCTGCTGTGAAATTCCTTATTGAGGCCTCGTCATGGAGTCTAAATGAAACTTTGTTGTATTCGAGTGGTGGCTTACTAATGTTTATTAAGAGGAAGGTTGGGTAGTGGTCAGTAGTGCTGTCTGTGATTATCCCTGATTTAAGGGGGGCTAGTATATTGGTCCATATGTGGTGGGTCAATACTGGAGTGTAATTTTTTTGGATGGATTAGTAAAAAGTTTCCTTATTAGTTAGGTGCTCAGTGATATTATGGGTAAATAAAATAATTTGTGTTTTAAAATACTCTTTTTAAAATCAAAATTACAGAACAGGTGGGGGCTTGAACCCATGGCAAACCAGTTCTAAAGCCAACAAGCTAATGTGCTGCCCACTAGTCCATTTTGGCCTAGCATGATTCATCATTTTAGGACTCATCTTTTTCCTTTCTGAGATTTGTTTGCAATCATATTTTTATGATCTTGTGACTTTTAATTAATTTGATGCTTTGACTCATCAGATTGGATCAACAACTAGTCAGTCATCATTCATCTCAACTGTGTTTGGTGGAAACCGCAGTGCATTCATGATGTTGTCCAGCTCCTTCCGCAAGCAACACTTCTTAGTAGGACTTGTATTATCAGATCTTGCTACGGCTCTTGAAATCAAGTAAGTTTGGAAATCAAACTTTTGGACTTCCTCTTGTATAATTCATGTTTTTTTTTTTTCAACAAACCAGCCATATCCCACTAAAGCAGGGTGACCCAAAAAGAAAAACGAAACTTTCTCTTTTTAAATTTAGTAATTTATACAGGAGAAGGGGTTACTAGGCCCTTGCTCCTGGCATTTTAGTTGCCTCTTACAACACGCATGGCTTACAGAGGAAGAATTCTGTTCCACTTCCCAATGGAGATAAGAGGAAATTAACAAGAACAAGAACTAGAAAGAAAATAGAAGAAAACCCAGAGGGGTGTGTGTATATATATGCTTGTATATGTATGTGTAGTGTGACCTAAGTGTAAGTAGAAGTAGCAAGACGTACCTGAAATCTTGCATGTTTAAGAGACAGAAAAAAGACACCAGCAATCCTACCATCATGTAAAACAATTACAGGATTCCGTTTTACACTCACTTGGCACTACTGTAGTACCTCCCTGGGGGGTTGCTGTCTACCAACCTACTACCTACAATAATTCATGTTACTTTTACAAAATACCTTATTCAGACTTCAGAAATATCTTATGAGGTTGTTTCTTCTGCGAAATGTGTTGTTAGATTCTTTTAAAATACAATTTAGTGATCGCATGCCATGGCCTACAGCAAATATTAAGTTACAGAAGTCCTTGTAAATTAGAATTTTTTTTTTTTTTTTTTTAACAATTTGGCCGTCTCCCGCCTAGGCAGGGTGACCCAAAAAGAAAGAAAATCCCCAAAAAGAAAATACTTTCATCATCATTTAACACTTTCACCTCACTCTCACATAATCACTGTTTTTGCAGAGGTGCTCAGAACACAACAGTTTAGAAGCATATACGTATAAAGATACACAACATATCCCTCCAAACTGCTAATATCTTTAGAGTGCAGGCATTGTACTTCCCATTTCCAGGACTCAAGTTCGGCTATATAAAAATAACCGGTTTCCCTGAATCCCTTCACTAAATATTACCCTGCTCACACTCCAACAGATCGTCAGGTCCCAAATACCATTCGTCTCCATTCACTCCTATCGAACACGCTCATGAATGTGCTGTTAAAAGTTTATTATTTTCTAGAAAATGTTCACCAATTGGCAACATAAATTACTATTACCCCATTTTTTTCAGACTCAAGACCTGGAGTTTTCTGTTAATTTCAAAATAAAAGGTTTTAACACCAGTAACAATTACTAAAGTTATTAATTTTTACTGTATTGGACATTTTTCAGCAAGGTAGGATGTGAGATTGTAGACTGAGTCTCCTATTTCACATCTGTTTGTTCCTCCTATGAAGGGAAAATATTCACCATCTCTCATTCAGTAGCTGTCTTGCATGAAGTGCGTGGACATCACAATTCAGATGGCACTCCAGACTTTAGCATCTGTATTTTTGTTACTGTAATTACTAGAAAATGGTCTGTATGTCCTCTACTAATTTATTAGATGCAGTTGCTCGCAGGTATAGATGTTATGAGAACTGCATAATTACCTTATAATGTGTGCAAGAGTGGCAAGCTGATTGGTGCCACATTGACTGCAACTAAAATTTTGGCTGTTTTATCTTAAGATAATGTGTGTTTCTTGCTGACAATGAAAGAGAAGCTAATGTTTGTTTTATATTAAGCTGCAATCATTTAAACTGTTGTAGTTATTGTATGATCCATTCATAATGACATGTTTACTGTTTAAAAGGCAATACCTAGGATATAACCAAAAAACTAAGACAAGGAGTTGAAAGATTGCTTCAATCCTTACTTAGGGCAATGGGATTAGATATAACTTAGTTTCCAAAAACAGATTACAGGCCACAAAACAACTAGAAGTACATACTGCTATAGATTAGCCTAGATAAAATCTATACCTTGGTACTGTTTAACCCTTTCAGGGTTTCCGACGTATGTACTAGTATGGCTTACGCACCAGGGCTATTGACGTACTAGACCGCCTAAATTCTAGCACCTTCAAATCTAGTGAGAGAAAGCTGGTAGGCCTACATATGAAAGAATGGGTCTGTGTGATCAGTGTGCACAGTATAAAAAATAATCCTTCAGCACACAGTGCATAATGAGAAAAAAAACTCCGACTGTGTTTTTGGTTTAAAACAGCGACTTTGCAGTGTATTTTCATATGGTATTTATGGTTGTATTCTAGTTTTCCTAGTCTCATTTCATAGAATGGAAGACATATTATAGAAATTGAGATGATTTTGAATGGTTTCATAATGAAAAGTACCTTGAAATTGAGCTCAAAGTAGCAGAAATGTTCAATTTTTACCAAAGTTCAAAAGTAAACAAATCATGCTAAGCATCCAATACATGTCAACTGGTGAGTCTAATATTCTTTCACAAGTGCACTGATATTATTTATACCATTTCTACACCATTTGTACACTAATGCAGTAGTCTGCGTAACAGTAAATCTTCTATTTTTTGTGAGAATAAAAATTCAAAGTGGAAAGCAAAAGAGATGTAAGAGGTGCCTGGGGACATGGCTGATGAACAGAGAAAATGCTATTAAAGTGCCAGGAGTGTCTGTCTTGTTTATTCTGAATGCTATTTGGAAATTGGCATCTTCTGAAATTTGTGTGAAATTGGCAAAATTGCCAATTTCTGACCACTTTATTGGATAGTTGACATGGGTAAATGGGTGGTTTCTTGTATTCATTCGATAGAAAAAATGGAGTTCTAGCGAAATAGATATGATTTTTGTCGACTAGTACACTGAAATTGGCCGAAAATAAGGCTCAAATTGGGCGAAATCGCTGATGCGTAAACATCATTGAGACCGCTAACTTCACGAGAGCATAATTCTGTAAGTTTTCCATCAAATTTCATACTTTTGGTGTCATTATGATCGGGAAAAGATTCTCTATCATTTCATAAGATTTTTTTTTTCTGAAAAATTTTCAACCCTGAGAACGAGTTTAGGAGAGGGCCTTTCGACCCTGAAAGGGTTAAAAGCTTGACTATGTTTACTGGTATACCAAAGTAATGGGGTATATATTAATAAATAAAAAAACTTTTTGTATGATAAATGGGAGTCTTGGTGATGCATTCATTTTTTAACACACTGGCCATCTCTCACCTGCTAAAGAAGAAACACTTTCACCAACACTCAATCATTGGCTTGGCAGAGGTGCACTGATACTACAGCTCAGATGCCCCTACAAACTACAATATCCCCACCCCTCCTTTAGAGACGGGCATTATACTTCCCATCTCTAGGACTCAAGTCTGGCTAACTGGTGTCCCTGAATCACTCATAAATGTTACCTTGCTCACACTCCAACAGCGTGTCAAGTCATAAAAATAATTTTCCTCCACTCTGAACTAACATGCTCACACATGCCTGTTGGATATTCAAGCACCTTGCATATGGATATTCAAGCCTGTTGCATACAGGCCTTCTTTACCCCTTCTCTCCAACCTTTCCTAGGATGACCCCAACCCAGCCTTCCCTCTACTGCAGATTTATACACCCTCCAAGTCATCCTATTTTGCTCCATCCTCTCTAAATGTCCAAGTCATCTCAACAACCCCTCCTCAGCTCTCTGGTTAATACATTTTGTAACCCTGCACCACCTCCTAATCCACAAACTATGAATTCTGTGTGCAAATAATGGTCTGATATATTTCTTGCCCTTGTATAAACATGCATGTTGCTGGGCTAAAAAATTAGTTCTTACAGATTAACACAGGGTAAGAGGGCAGTGCCTGCATTGTGGAAGAGAGGTGGAGATGTTGCATTTGGAGGGTAAATTGAATTGTGATGTCAACACACTTCTGGCATGACAGTGATTGACTGAATGATGGTGAATGTGTTTGTTTCTTTGGGTTATCCTGCTTTGGCAGGAAATGGCTGTGTGGAAAAAAAATTGCAGTGCTTAAGGATTCAGACATCATAATTTAAAAAAAATATTTTACTGCAATACCTGTTTCCGGTGAGGAATGCTGGCATGTTTCACCTTGCCCTTCCTTATTTTCATTATATACTTTGTGATAGTCATCTTTGTTATATTAATGAATTTATAATCTTTGTTTACTGTCCACAACAGTTCCTAATAATGCCTCTAATGATTTTTCACATTATTTATTTATTTATTTATTTATTAATTTGAAATATACAAAATATACAAAATAAAACTCAATTTGCTTTGTAGCTTACATACAAATAGTTATTTTTATTGCTACAATGTGTTCATGATGTGTAAAATCAAGTAGCTAGATATTTTGATTATGTATTAAATTGTGATGAGTTTTAAAAGTTGTGTGCAGGTAAAATTTTGGAAAAGCAATTGTCTTTGATATACCTTGCATCATTTAGCACTTGTTATTTTTCTATACTTTTTTCAGTAACCCCACCATTATTGGAAGAGCAGTAAACAGCATCAGAAACCTGCTGACGAGTCACGACACAGACGATCGGTACACTGAGCCAGAAGTGAAGGCTCGTGTGGTAGCACTATACCTGCCACTCCTCAGTATTGTCATCGATGCTTTACCACAACTCCACACCTTTGCCAGTGCCAAGTGTACGCTTAGCTACTTTCCATATTTGAAGAGGATAATTGAGAATTCCTTCTTGGCAAAGAAATGTATATATAGTACACATGTTAGATTGGAGCCACTGGAGAAAGTTTTTTTTATGACTTGCTGTGCTGTTGAAGTGTGAGCAAGGTAACATTTATGAAAGGATTCAGGGAAACTGGTTAGCTGGACTTGAGTCTCGGAAGTGGGAAGTACAATGCATTCACTCTGGAAGATGGGGTGGGGATGTTGTAGTTTCGAGGGCCATCTGAACTGTGATGTCAGCACACTTCTGGCAAGACAGCGATTGAATGATGGTGAATTTGTTTCCTCTGTTTTGAGCCACCCTACCTTGGTGGGAGGTGACTTGTTTGACTCAGGGATTTGTATATTGAGAGGTTGGGAAGTATTGTGCCTCAAAATATGTGTGCTGAGAGGTAGTGAAGTATTGTGCCACAGGATTTGTATACTGAGAGATGCATAAGTATTATGCCACAGAATTTGTGTTGAGAGTGAGAAAATGTTGTGCCACAGGATATTTTGAGCAGTGGGAAAGCATTGTGCCACAGGATTTGTATCGAGAGATTAGAAAACATTGTGCCACAAGATTTGTGTATTGAGAGAAGTGAATGCATTGTGCCACAGGATTTTTATGTTCAGAGTTTATATACCTTTGATAAACCTGTGACTGTTTCAAGAGTTTTTCTATCTTTGCAACCCAGCCTGGGGCCAAGTTTTCTTGTTAATTGCCTGTTCAACCAGGCTGTTGCTGTTAGTGGCCCACAGGCCTTCATGTCCATCACAGTCTGGTTAATCTGGCACTTGGCAGAGGTAGTGATCCAATTTCTTCTGTGAGAAAGTATTGTATCTCATGATTAGTGTGTTGAGAGGTGAGGAAATATTGTGTAACAGGATTTATATATTTAGAACTGGGGAAGTATTGTGCTACAGGATTTTCTTTATATTACTACTGTGCAGATAAAGTTTTCATGGATATTGTATGTAAATAATGAATAATATTGTAATTTTACATTAAAGTAAAAGTGATTTTATTTAAAAAAGTAGTAAGGTGAATTTTTTTTTTTTTAGCAAGTCGGCCGTCTCCCACCGAGGCAGGGTGACCCAAAAAGAAAGAAAATCCCCAAAAAGAAAATACTTTCATCATCATTCAACATTTTCACCTCACTCACACATAATCACTGTTTTTGCAGAGGTGCTCAGAATACAACAGTTTAGAAGCATATACGTATAAAGCTGCACAACATATCCATCCAAACCGCTAATATCCTGAAACTCCTCCTTTAGAGTGCAGGCATTGTACTTCCCATTTCCAGTACTCAAGTCTGGCTATATAAAAATAACCAGTTTCCCTGAATCCCTTCACTAAATATTACCCTGCTCACACTCCAATAGATCGTCAGGTCCCAAATACCATTCGTCTCCATTCACTCCTATCGAACACGCTCATGCACGCTTGCTGGAAGTCCAAGCCCTTCACCCACAAAACCTCCCTTACCCCTTCCTTCCGACCTTTTCGAGGATGACCTTTACCCCGCCTTCCTTCCCCTGCAGATTTATAAGCTCTCCATGTCATTCTACTTTGATCCATTCTTTCTAAATGACCAAACCACCTCAACAACCCCTCCTCAGCCCTCTGACTAATACATTAACTCCACACCTTCTAATTTCCACACTCCGAATTTTCTGCAAAATATTTACACCACACATTGCCCTTAGACAGGACATCTCCACTGCCTCCAACCGTCTCCTCGCTGCTGCATTCACAACCCAAGCTTCACACCCATATAAGAGTGTTGGTACTACTAGACTTTCATACATTTCCCTTCTTTGCCTCCATAGATAATGTTTTTTGTCTCCACATATACCTCAACACACCACTCACCTTTTTTCCCTCATCAATTCTGTGATTAACCTCATCCTTCATAAATCTATCCGCCGACACGTCAACTCCCAAGTATCTGAAAACATTCATTTCTTCCATACTCCTCCTCCACAATTTGATATCCAATTTTTCTTTATGTAAATCATTTGATACCCTCATCACCTTACTCTTTTCTATGTTCACATTCAACTTTCTACCTTTACACACACTCCCAAACTCGCCCACTAACCTTAGCAATTTTTCTTTAAAATCTTCCCATAAGCACAGTATCATCAGCAGAAAGCAACTGTGTCAATTCCCATTTTGTATTTGACTCCCCATAATTTAATCCCACCCCTCTCCCGAACACCCTAGCATTTACTTCTTTTACAACCCCATCTATAAATATATTAAACAACCATGGTGACATTACATGGTGTTCACTGACAGCTTAATTTTCATCATCATCATGGGGAAGTGGAATAAGAATCTTTCCTCTGTAAGCCATGCGTGTTGTAAAAGTCAACTAAAATGCCGGGAACAATGGGCTAGTAACCCCTTTTCCTGTAAAGATTACTAAAAAGAATAAGAAGAAGAAAATTGTCAAAGTGGGAAGTCTGAATGTGCTTGGATGTTGTGCAAATGATAAGAAAGAGATGATTGTGGATGTTATGAATGAGAAGAAACTGGATGTCCTGGCTTTAAGTGAAACAAAGCTGAAGGGGGTGGGAGAGTTTCAATGGAGAGGAATAAATGGGATTAGGTCAGGGGTTTCAAATAGAGTTAGAGCTAAAGAAGGAGTAGCAATAATGTTGAAGGATAAGCTATGGCAGGAAAAGAGGGACTACAAATGTATAAATTCAAGGATTATGTGGAGTAAAATAAAGATTGGATGTGAAAAGTGGGTTATAGTAAGCGTGTATGCACCTGGAAAAGAGAGAAGTGTAGAGGAGAGAGAGAGATTTTGGGAAATGTTGAGTGAATGCGTGGGGAGTTTTGAATCAAGTGTGAGAGTAATAGTGGTTGGGGATTTCAATGCTAAAGTGGGTAAAAATGTTATGGAGGGAGTAGTAGGTAAATTTGGGGTGCCAGGGGTAAATGTAAATGGGGAACCTTTAATTGAGCTATGTGTAGAAAGAGATTTGGTAAAAAGTAATACATATTTTATGAAAAAGAGGATAAATAAATATACAAATTATGATGTAGCACGTAATGAAAGTAGTTTATTAGACTATGTATTGGTGGATAAAAGGTTGATGGGTAGGCTCCAGGATGTACATGTTTATAGAGGGGCAACTGATATATCGGATCATTATTTAGTTGTAGCTACAGTTAGAGTAAGAGGTAGATGGGAAAAGAGGAAGGTAGCAACAACAAGTAAGAGGGAGGTGAAAGTGTATAAACTAAGGGAGGAGGAAGTTCGGGTGAGATATAAGCGACTATTGGCAGAAAGGTGGGCTAGTGCAAAAATGAGTAGTGGGGGGGGGGGGGTTGAAGAGGGTTGGAATAGTTTTAAAAATGCAGTATTGGAATGTGGGGCAGAAGTTTGTGGTTATAGGAGGGTGGGGACAGGAGGAAAGAGGAGTGATTGGTGGATTGATGAAGTAAAGGGTGTGATAAAAGAGAAAAAGGTAGCTTATGAGAGGTTTTTACAAAGCAGAAAGTGTTATAAGAAGAGTAGAGTATATTGAGAGTAAAAGAAAGGTAAAGAGAGTGGTGAGAGAATGCAAAAGGAGAGCAGATGATGGAGTGGGAGAGGCACTGTCAAGGAATTTTAATGAAAATAAGAAAAATTTTTTGAGTGAGTTAAACAAGTTAAGAAAGCCTAGGGAAAGTATGGATTTGTCAGTTAAAAACAGAGTAGGGGAGTTAGTAGATTGGGAGAGGGAGGTATTAGGTAGATGGCGAGAATATTTTGAGGAACTTTTAAATGTTAAGGAAGAAAGAGAGGCAGTAATTTCATGCACTGGTCAGGGAGGTATACCATCTTTTAGGAGTGAAGAAGAGCAGAATGTAAGTGTGGGGGAGGTACATGAGGCATTACGTAGAATGAAAGGGGGTAAAGCAGCTGGAACTGATGGGATCACGACAGAAATGTTAAAAGCAGGGGGGGGATATAGTGTTGGAGTGGTTGGTACTTTTGTTTAATAAATGTATGAAAGAGGGGAAGGTACCTAGGGATTGGTGGAGAGCATGTATAGTCCCTTTATATAAAGGGAAAGGGGACAAAAGATATTGTAAAAATTATAAAGGAATAAGTTTACTGAGTATACCAGGAAAAGTGTACGGTAGGGTTATAATTGAAAGAATTAGAGGCAAGACAGAATGTAGGATTGCGGATGAGCAAGAAGGTTTCAGAGTGGGTAGGGGATGTGTAGATCAAGTGTTTACATTGAAGCATATATGTGAACAGTATTTAGATGAAGGTAGGGAAGTTTTTATTGCATTTATGGATTTAGAAAAGGCATATGATAGAGTGGATAGAGGAGCAATGTGGCAGATGTTGCAAGTATATGGAATAGGTTGTAAGTTATTAAATGCTGTAAAGAGTTTTTATGAGGATAGTGAGGCTCAGGTTAGGGTGTGTAGAAGAGAGGGAGACTGCTTCCTGGTAAAAGTAGGTCTTAGACAGGGATGTGTAATGTCACCATGGTTGTTTAATATATTTATAGATGGGGTTGTAAAGGAAGTAAATGCTAGGGTGTTCGGGAGAGGGGTGGGATTAAATTTTGGGGAATCAAATTCAAAATGGGAATTGACACAGTTACTTTTTGCTGATGATACTGTGCTTATGGGAGATTCTAAAGAAAAATTGCTAAGGTTAGTGGATGAGTTTGGGAATGTGTGTAAAGGTAGAAAGTTGAAAGTGAACATAGAAAAGAGTAAGGTGATGAGGGTATCAAATGATTTAGATAAAGAAAAATTGGATATCAAATTGGGGAGGAGGAGTATGGAAGAAGTGAATGTTTTCAGATACTTGGGAGTTGATGTGTCGGCGGATAGATTTATGAAGGATGAGGTTAATCATAGAATTGTTGAGGGAAAAAAGGTGAGTGGTGCATTGAGGTATATGTGGAGTCAAAAAACGTTATCTATGGAGGCAAAGAAGGGAATGTATGAAAGTATAGTAGTACCAACACTCTTATATGGGTGTGAAGCTTGGGTGGTAAATGCAGCAGCGAGGAGACGGTTGGAGGCAGTGGAGATGTCCTGTTTAAGGGCAGTGTGTGGTGTAAATATTATGCAGAAAATTCGGAGTGTGGAAATTAGGAAAAGGTGTGGAGTTAATAAAAGTATTAGTCAGAGGGCAGAAGAGGGGTTGTTGAGGTGGTTTGGTCATTTAGAGAGAATTGATCAAAGTAGAATGACATGGAAAGCATATAAATCTATAGGGGAAGGAAGGCGGGGTAGGGGTCGTCCTCGAAAGGGTTGGAGAGAGAGGGTAAAGGAGGTTTTGTGGGCAAGGGGCTTGGACTTCCAGCGAGCGTGCGTGAGCGTGTTAGATAGGAGTGAATGGAGACGAATGGTACTTGGGACCTGACGATCTGTTGGAGTGTGAGCAGGGTAATATTTAGTGAAGGGATTCAGGGAAACCGGTTATTTTCATATAGTCGGACTTGAGTCCTGGAAATGGGAAGTACAATGCCTGCACTTTAAAGGAGGGGTTTGGGATATTGGCAGTTTGGAGGGATATGTTGTGTATCTTTATATGTGTATGCTTCTGAGCTGTTGTATTCTGAGCACCTCTGCAAAAAAAGTGATAGTGTGTGAGTGTGGTGAAAGTGTTGGATGATGATGAAAGTATTTTCTTTTTGGGGATTTTCTTTCTTTTTTGGGTCACCCTGCCTCAGTGGGAGACGGCCGACTTGTTGAAAAAAAAAAAAAAATATTAAGTTTTCTTCAGCCAGTGACAGGTTTAAAGTGGAGCTTGAAGAGGTGCTGTATACTGTATGTAGATATTAATGACTCTCTTTGGAAGTTAATTTTGTGTATTATGATTCATTTATTGCAGACCGGTACTTAATGTCATCTCTTGGTGATGAGAATGAGGGAGGACCAACACACATTCATCAGAATGTTGCACTTGCTATTGCTGGTTCATCCATGTTTGCAAATAAGGAGAGTGACTATGATGTTATTCAAGGGGTAAGTATATTAATAAAGCCTCACCTATTTCATAGACAGAGTTACTATGACTTGAGATGCAATATGATAATGTCAGTCATTTTAAGATTATGATAAATAGTAGTCTCACTATCTTGTATTTATTATGTTGAGAGATTGTTGAAAATGTTAATTGGTGAACAAGCAGCTCAAGTCATAGTATAGTTGATCCAAAATAAAAGATACTATAAATGTTATTGAGGAATAACATTATAGTTTTCTTAAGGTAAGATACTGTAACGTTATTTAGGAATAACAAAATTTTCTTAAGGTAAGATATCACAATTGTTATTTAGGAATAACAAAATTGTTTTCTGAAGGCAAGATACTGTAATTGTTATTTAGGGCTAACAAAATTTTTTTCTTAAGGTAAGTGAAATATTACCTGTTGAGTATCCCTTATCTGTAATACATGAGGCTGGAAGTGCCTCGGATTTCCGAATTTTTCTGTTTTTGGAATATACAATGGAACCTCGGTTGTCAAATGCCTTACTTGTCAAACAAATTGGGTTTTGAGTGAGGAATTTGAGAAAAAATGTCCTGGTTTTCTTACGGGCTCTTGGTTGTCAACAGAGAGCGTGAACAGGACAAAGTGGCTCGCCTGGCAGTGAGTCGATAGCATGGTTCTCAGTCAGTATATGTACTAACTCATATGCTGTAAACATCTCTTGAGCTTTTGCTGTGCATCTTGTGAACTTTTATTGCAGTTTTGGTGCATTTTTTTTATTGTGAGATAAGTTATCATGAGTCCAAAGAAGGATAAGAAGATGAAAGCAAAAAGAAAAGTTGTAAAAAACCAAAGGGAAAAAATTACAGCAGCTGGCCTTGCCAAAGGTGTGAAAGTGATATCAAGGAAAAAGCCACAAATGATTGAGGAGGTTGAAAAACTCTTGTTGATTTAGATAAATGAAAAACAGTTACAAGGTGATAGTGTTTCAGAGGCCATTATTTGTGAAAAAGCAATCCTTCAAGTCTAGTAGGGGCTTGATAATTTTAAGAAAAGAAGTGGCATTCATAGTGTAGCTAGGCATGGGGAGGCTGCTAGTGCTGACACAGTGACTGTTTAAAAGTATGTTACTGAATTCCAAGTGTATGTAGAGGCTGAGGGATTTCTCCCCCAACAAGCATTCAATTGTGACGAGACAGGCCTCTTCTGGAAGAAAATGCCCAAGAGGACCTACAAAACTGAAGAGGAAAAGTCAGTGCCAGGACACCAGCCAATGAAAGACAGGCTCACTCTGTTATTGTGTGGTAATGCAAGTGGGGATTTCAAATTGAAGCCCTTACTTGTTTATCATTCTGAAAATCCACAAGTTTTCAAGAAGAACAATGTTATATTGTGTCCCTGAGGAAGACCTTAGGCCTAGATATGACTGAATATGATATGGAGGAGTTGTTGGAGGAGCATAGAACTGAACTCACCATGGAAGAACATGTACATCTTCAGGAGCAGCAGCAACAGATTGCAGCAAAGGAGCTGTCATCTGAGGAAGAGGAGGGAAGGGATGGTGTGCCCAATGCCCTTGTCAAGGAAATATGTGCTAAATGGCATGATGTGCAGGAGTTTGCTGAAAAATACCATCCAGACAAAGAACATAAGAACGTAAGAAAGAAGGAACACTGCAGCAGGCCTACTGGCCCACGCGAGGCAGGTCCACGTCTCCTACCGGCTTAAGCCAATGCCCCAACCTAGTTAGGTCAGGTCACCCTGAATTATGAAAGGTATATTGGTTTGTTCTCATTTGTTGATATGTTGTGTGAGGCAGAGAGCTACCAAGTTACTAGATTCACAATCAAGTAGGTTTATAGAAGGTAGTGAAGGTCCCTCCAGTTTTCTATGGCTTCCAACTGTTACCAGTACATTGCTATGGTTATAGAAATAAGCTGGGAACCTGAAATTCTGTCAGAGCTAAAAGGGTTAAGGAAGAAGCATGGCATCTGGCCTAGTAGCACAAGCTAGTCAGGTCCAACTCACACCCACCCACAGCCACTCATATATTTATGTAACCTATTTTTAACCCTTAAACGGTCCAAACGTATATATACGTTCACGCGCGTAGCGCCTCAAACGTATGTATACGTTTTCTTTGTCATTCATTCAACATTGCCATAATAAGCCTGAGTCACCTAGACATGAGAGAATGGGTGTGCGCACTCACTGTGCACCATATTAAAATAATTGTGGATGCCTGGGTACCATATGCTCTTTTTTCCTTTTAAAAAAAAAAAATCTCAAAAAATTTGGGGCACTACGCGAGTGAACGTATATATACGTTTGGACTGTTTAAGGGTTAAAAGTACACAACGTTTTAGCTTCTATGACGGTACTCGGGAGTTTGTTCCACTCATCCAGTGCTTTCCTATATCCTTCCTGAATCTGAGTTTTTCCAACTTAAAACCAGTGCTGTGAGTCCTGTCTTGGCTAGATATTTTTGGCATGCTATATACATCCCCTTTATTTATTCCTGTTTTCCATTTATACACTTCAGTCATATCCCCCCTAATTCTACACCTTTCTAGAGAGTGCAGATTCAGGGTCCTCAGTCTATTCTCATAGGGAAGATTTCTGAGACATGGGATCAACTTTGTCATCCTCCTTTGTATGCTTTCCAGAGCATTTATTTCCATTCTGTAATACGGTGACCAAAACTGCAGCATAATCTAGATGAGGCCTAACCAAGGATATATAGAATTGAAGAACAACCTGAGGACTCCTATTATTTATGCTTCTTGATTTGAAGCCAAGGATTCTGTTCGCTTTATTGCGAATACTTTTGCACTGCTGTCTTGGTTTTAGATTACTGCTAACCAGAACTCCCAAATCCTTTTCACAATCAATAATATTAAGATCTACATTATTTAGTTTATATGTGGCATGGTTGTTTTCTTGTCCATTGTTTAGAACTTTGCATTTGTCTATATTAAACTCCATCTGACTCTTCTCTGGCCACTGCATCAGTCTATTCAAATCTTCCTGGAGTGCTCTAATGTCCTCGTCAGAATGAATTTGTTGGCCTATTTGAGTGTCATCAGCAAACTTGCTTATGTATATCACTATTTATTCCCTTATCTATGTCATTTATGTAGACAGTGAACAATAAGGGGCCCAACACTGACCCCTGTGGAACATCACTTGTGATGCTTCCCCACTCTGATTTCTCCCCATTTATGCAAACTCTCTGCTGCCTATCAGTCAACCATGCCTCTGTCCAGGAAAAATTTCTCCTATTCTGTGTGCCTTAATTTTCCTCAATAGTCTCTGATGTGGGACTCTATTCATCCACATACACAATATCATATTCATTACCATCATCTACCTCCTCAAGTACCTCAGTGAAAAAATCAATAAATTCGTAAGACAGGAATGCCCTGTTGTAAAACCGTGCTGAGATCATTGATCAATTTATGTTTTTCAAGATGGCTACAAATTGCCTCAGCAATTTTTGATTCCATAAATTTTCCCACTGTGGAGGTGAGGCTTATTGGTCTATAGTTCAAAGTTAAGGGCCTGTCACCTGCTTTGAAAATAGGTATCACATTTGCCATTTTCCTCTTATCTGGCACTATGTCAGTTTGTAGTGATATGTTGAAAAGATTAGCCAAAAGTTTGCTAAGCTCCTCTTTACATTCCTTTAGAACCCTTGTGTACAGTTCATCAGGGTCTGGGGATTTGTTAGATTTTAATTTATCTATTTGTCTAAGGACCATGTCACTTGTGACCCTAATCATGCATAGTTTATCATCCTGTTCTACATAATTTATTATTTCTGGAATATCGCTAGTATCTTCCTGTGTAAAAACTGAGAGGAAGTAAGTGTTAAAAATGTTACACATTTCCCTATCACTGTTGGTGAGCTGACCCAAGTAACTTTTGAGTGGGCCTATCTTGTCCTTAATCTTACTTCTGTCTACCTGAAAGAATCCTCTTGGGTTAGTCTTCGATTCTCTTGCAACTTCAACCTCACAATCTCTTTTTGCTTTTCTTATTCCTGTTTTTATTTCTCTCTCTAACTGAATATATTGATTTCTTGACTGCCCCTCTCCTCTTTTGACTTAAAACAGTGACCGTCTCTCTAACATGTACAATGACAGTGTAATGTCTCAATTTAGACAAGTGTTAAAACAGAACATGAAACGAGCTTCACTGGACAGGTTTTTAGAGAGACAAAGAACCAGTGAGGCAGAACAAGGTGTTAGTGGTGAAAAGAGACGAAGAAGATAAACAACACCAGAAGGAGAGTTGCCTGACATATTAATAGAAAGTGGCTCTCCTTCTGAACAGTAACATTCCACCTCCTCTCCTCCACCTCCTGCTCCCAGTATGCCATTAGCTCTCCTCTGACAGGTAAGAGGCAATTATATTTTCATTTACTGTACAGTATTTCAGTTAAGGATTCTTTTAGTATTCATTTTTACAGTTTTATGTAGTAAGTACCTTGGTAGTAGGTTGGCAGACAGCAACTGCCCAGGGAGGTACTACTGTTCTGCCAAGTGAATGTAAAATGGAAGCCTGTAATTGTTTTACATGATGGTAGGATTGCTGGTGTCTTTTTTTGTCTCATAAACATGTGAAATAACAAGTATATCTTGCTACTTATGCTTACACTCAGGTCACACTACACATGCATGTACAAGCATATGCATATGTATACACACACACCCCTCTGGGTTTTCTTGTCTTCTTACAAGCTCTTGTTCTTCTTTATTTCCTCTTATCACCATGGGGAAGTGGAACAGAATTCTTCCTCCATAAGCCATGCATGTCATAAGAGGCGACTAAAATGCTGGGAGAAAGGGGCTAGTAACCCCTTCTCCTGTATACATTACTAAATTTACAAGGAGAAACTTTCGTTTTTCCGTTTGGGCCACCCCGCCTCCATAGGATACAGCTGGTGCATTGAAAGAAAGTTGTAAGTACATTTTTATTATATTATTTTATTGTTATTTGGGGTCTGGAACAGATTAATTCTGTTTACAGTATTCTTTATGGGAAAAATTGCTATGGTGATTTTCCGTTTTGGTCGTTGAATCGACATCTGGAATGAATTAAATTCAACAACTGAGGTTCCACTGTATATGGGATGGTACCATAAGTCCAAACATAAAATCAGTTTATATTTTGAATACAGTTTATACATACACTTAGCTTGTAGGTAGTTTTATACAATATTTTTAATTACGAAAATAATAATTTAATATATTATAAGCAGCATTGGGAGAATATCTGCATCAGCTGTAAAAACAATAACAGACAATGGCTGGCTTTCAGTCTCCACCTATGATGCTGTGTTTTGATTAAAAGGCTTCTGCACACTATTTTTTCTTATCACTGTTACCCTTAGGGATATCTTTGCACCATAGAACAGATAATAAGCACAGAACACATGATAATCACAGTGAGTAATGCACATAGGTCTAGTGGTGATGACTTGGCGACAAACTAGTGGCAACAGAATATCAGAGCCCTGTCCAGGGTATAAGGTCATGTGTAGCAACTGTCTGGGTATGCAAAGACTTGTACATTACCTGGGAACCTCCCCAGAACTGACTAGAATTTTTCATTTTGGCATTATGTCCACACCTGAAAAAAAAATTGAATTTCAGAGCTTTTCGAATTTTGGAATTTTGAATGAAGGACTCTTAATCTGTGTTTTCAATAAAATTTTTGGTTACATATATTTTATTTAACTATAAGATGTGAAACAGAAATGCACACAGGATATGATTGTAGATAAAGCAAAACTTGAGAGAGAGGCCTGCATGAATTAATATGCAGTTACACACCATTATGACAACAGAGGTTGTTTAACTGAAGCCAGCATAACTTGTTACAAAACCACAAGAACACAGTTTGGTTGATCAGTAATTCTGACTTGCACTATTTCTGCCTTGCTTTCAAATTTTGGTTGATAAGATTGTTTAAGAGGTTAAACAGGTAAACTTTTACAAGGAATGTACCTGTTAAATGGCCCTGTATGTTTGAAGAGAAGGGAGGAGGTGAAAAAATCCAGCATTACCACAACCTAAAGAGTTTCCTGAGTTTATGTAGAGGGGAAAATAACAGGCTGCAAGTTACATTTCAGGGTGTTTATTAGGATCTGAAGCCCAAAATCCACAGACTTGGTCCGAAAATTTATACTAGGATCTGAAGTCTGAAAAGCATAGTCTTTGTCCCAAATTTTAAAGTGAAAATTTAACTTTGAAGAGTCAAAGGTTTTCAGTACAGCTCATGTGATTCTCTACCTTAATATGGTAGGTCTTCCTAGGTTGAGATACAAGATCAGGTGTCCAGTCAGAGATTCAAATGGTTGGTGTGAGGATGTGACCTGCCCATTGGGTGCATAATATGGATACGTGGCAGTTCCCACCAGCATCCTGTGCTGCTGAACAATGAGGGATTGATATGTACCTTAGTAAATGACCAGATAAAAATATTTTCAAATTAAAATACTAGGTCAAAAGCAATTATTGTGCAGCCATTAAAATTAAGGATTAATATTTCAATTTAATCAGCATACGACAATTCATTGATCACATCAGTTTCCATTTTGAAAATGCGATTTTTATGAAAATTTTTTTGATTGTTTATAAAAACATAAAATTACATTTCTAAACATAATTTAATGACAAAGTGCAAGGAAACTGCTGGTAAACGGTACCACTGATCATGATTGTTTCTGATAATTCATTTTTACAATAAGTTGTTAACCTTAGATTATAAATCTGGAATTATACGTAAATTTCACTAGATTGCGAGGTCAAACAGGGAGGTGAAGTACCAAATTAGATTGATTGCAGGTTGAGCATAACCATACTCATTGATGGTTCAGAGAAACTTATTGAGGATCAAAGTGACTTTTGATGCAATATCAATTTCATGCATTAAAACCTGGATGGTTTTTGCTCAAATTAAAATTCTCCATTTTCTTTGTTCTCTTTGGATGAATGTATTGTAAATCCTCAGTTATTGACTATGTAAGAGCTGAGCTTGTTTGGTTATTCCCATGGATATGTCCATTGATATCACAGTCTTACCCTCATCATCATAAATGTCTTTTGCAGATGTTAAAGTTTTGTTTAACCTAGAAGATGAGGAATTATCTTAGATCTACAGATGTGTAGTTTCATGCATATTATAAATGAAATCTTTATTTTTGTGGTATTGCTGAGATTGAGGAAAATATAATTCATAATAAGACATATTAATTTATTTAAACTAAAAAATGGAAAACACTTAACCACAGTGAACCAGCTTTATGTATGTTATAATAAAAATATGCACCATTAATATTTTATTGCACTGCACTTGCATGCAGACAACAGAAGAGGAGATGGAAAATGTAAGTGTCCATCTCCTTCTTTCAGTGTCTTTTTTTTTTTTTTTTAATCAAGTGCTGTAACTATACTTAAAAAAGAACATTATATCATTAATCTTCTTGTATATTATAAATAACTACATAACCTTAATATTGTATGTTGACATTTTGCTTGTGTTCGTAATTCTTGTTAAATTATTTTACTGAGCAAATCGTGAAACGTGTGTAGATAAAGTATTTACTTCAACTGAGCTTCATCATGAAGGCCTGCATTTTCATTTATACAGCAACAACAGCCGCGCAAGTGCCCTTTGAGTTCTGAAACAACACGGAACTTGCTCATCTGCCTCTTGTGGGTATTGCGTAATGCAGATGAAACGACCCTTCGCCATACTCTTTCTGAACTACCACATAATCGTCTCCATCAGCTGCTGGATGTACTTTATGTAGCAGTCTCTTGCTTTGAGTATAAGGTAAGTTACAGTATATAATCAGTTTAGTGTTTTAAATTATAAAGGCCATAATAAGATTTACAGCTCTATCTTTTGTTTTTTGAGTTAAGGATTGGCTGTTGAATATGTACCTTTCATTGGACTTTCTTTTCTGTATATTATTTAATACATTGAGAAATAATTTGATATTGAAGGCTCTTCCTAGCTACCTTGAATGCTATAGTCTCACTTACAAGGTACTCAACCTCAGTGTTAAAGGGGTGAACCAATTAAGCCAGTGGAAGACTTCGGTCAAATGACCAAATGCTCTAGTGACTTAGACCCATGATAGGAAATACTTGTTTTGTTTCCTGATGAATCTTACTTAACCTAACCTATTTTCAATAGTTGTGTTTTCACGTAGAATTTTAGTGTTGTTCATACTCATTGCATGACTGAGTTGATGTTGGGCTATGGTATCCATATGTTGATCCATTGGCTTGTTTGAAGTGGAAGTTTACTTTTGTTGACCTAGTCAATATTTGCTTTTGTTTGCCCTAATTTTCTGGAATATGGATTGCTGTTTATTTTATTCCTTGAAATAACATGCCCTATGCACAGTGGAGTACTGCACGCTTAATCTAGATTAAGCACTGATCACAACAAGTAACCACTGGAAATAATTTGGACGTTGGAGCATGGCACCTAAAACTACATTAAATCTTGATCATATTATATTCAACTGCTGGAGTACCTGATTTCAAATATATTATCCCTCTAAGCCTGTAAACTATGAAAAGTCAGCAGGTAGTTTAGACCAGTGCTCAAAAATTTTCTTCCTTTTTTTTGGCATCATCAGGCCATGTCTGTTACCATTTAAATACTGGCTTGCATTCCATGTTTGATTCTCTTATTATTATTTTTTTTTTTTTTTTGTTTTTTTTTTGATTAACTATCTCCTTTGAATTTGATAGTCTGTAGCTTTTATATTCTGTTGACACCTCAGTACTGATAATTCTCTGTAAAACACTCCTTGATATTTTTAACCATTTCACTGTCGAGACCCTGGCTCACAAACTTGCTCTCAGTGTTGAATTTTCAAAAAAAAAAAAAAAAAATCTTATGAAATGATAGAGAATCTTCTCCTGATGGCAATGACACCAAAAGTACGAAATTTGATGGAAAACTTACAGAATTATGCTCTCCCGATGTTAGCTGTTTCAGCAATATGTATGCATTGGTGATTTCGCCCACTTTGAGCCCTATTTTCAGCCATTGTTTCAGTTGACCAAACTCGTAGCTATTTCGCTAGAGCTTCATTTGTCCTATTGATTGAGTACAAGAAACCACCCATTTACTGATTTCAACTACCCAATAAAGTGGTCAGAAATTGGCAATTTGGCCAATTTCAGACAAATTTCAAAAGATGCCAGTTACAAAATACGGTCCAGAATAAACAATGCAGACATTCCTGGCACTAAAATAACATTTTTCTCTACTCATTAGTCATATCTCCAGGCCCCTCTTATATTACTCTTGCTTTCTATTTTGAATTTTTATTCACAAAAAAAGAAAAATAGAAGATTTACTATTATGCAGACTACTGCATTATTGTAAAAATTGTATAAATAATGTCAGCCCATTCGTGACTGCATATTAGACTGACCAGTTGGACATGTATTGGACGGTGACATCATTTGTTTACTCTGGAACATTAGCAAAAATCGAACATTTCTGCTACTTTGAGCTCATTTTCAAGGTACTTTTCATCGTGAAACCAATCAAAATCATCTGTATTTCAGTAATATATCATCCATTCTATCAAATGAGACCAAGAAAACGAGAATACAACTGTAAATACCTTAGAAAATACACCTCAAAGTCGGCGGTCATAAGTCGAGTGGTCGTATGTCGCTCAGGTCGTAAGTCGGATGGTGAGTGTATATAAAATATGAAATAACATTTAAAAACACTTCAAATTTTAGAAATTTCCAGACATAATGGAGAGATGTGGTGCTCACAGAGCTCATAGAGGATGTAAACAAACCAGGTGGGGCGCAGTGACCGTATTAGAAATTCAGGCGAGGGAACCGTATAGCGAGTTTTGATCATAATTTAAAATGTCCATATTAGCAGAACACCGTAAAGCAAAATGCCGTAAATTGGGGCCGTACTGTATAGTACTATATGTATGTACAAGTAAAAGTTATAGAATTTTGAAACAAATTCTTAGTAAAGATGCTAGGCTATAGCTAAGAATTACTGTACTGTAAAGCTGATGTAGTTCATTAAAACTCCTGGATGTTTGAATATACAAAATCTTTGGAGGTGATTTTTGTTAGCGTTATGGACGTGAGAGTTAGTCAGGAAGGTTAAGAAACTATCGGGTCTGGCTAGTAAATGAATGGACAACTATGTAAGCATCTCAGCCTTGAGTAGAGGCACTTCATACTGAGGTTTTGTGTCCCCAACAGGGTAAACCACTTTACCCATGAGATCACTCACTTTTAGGTAGGGTTCTCAGCATCAGAGCTGTTTTCTTCCTTAACCATAAGATGTCTAGTCTACATGTGGGCATAAGTATAAATGTGTATGTTAGTGTTGGATATATACTGATTTTGAGTTTGAAGAGAATGAACACTTTTTTCTTCATTTAATTAAATTAACATAGAGTATTTCTGCTTGAATTAAAGGGAAAGAAGATATCTCATCGTGGTGGTGCAGTCAATATCCGAAGCAAAGAGGCCATGAAGAGTCTTCTTGAGGAAGCCATCATGGGCCAGAACTCCGCACGTTCAGAAATGATGCTTCGCCGTCGAGGTAACGCTCCCCCCAACACCCCCCATGTTGTTGGATTATCTCAATTCTACATCCAAGGGGCAGGTTTGTGTCACTCAAGTGAACATTCAGTGAGGCACTCGTTCAGTCAACCTCTCAACCCCAGCAATAATGTGACTCTGCTGCCTATGCACTGTACCGGGGTTCGTACATACTCCGTGGCTCGCACTGCTAACTCACACCCTCTCACAAACCTCTTTGTTGCCTTGGGGTCTGGAGGATAATAAATGGTAGTGTAGATAAAAGAGAAGTAATGTAGAGATGGCATTATGTTAGGCTATAAATCTAATCAGCATATTTCTGAGTTAATAATGCTTTAAACAGACAGGTAATTTTTGTAATATCTGTTCCCATTACAGCGTTAATTATAGCTGGATTAGTCTCCAGTACTCCTTACACAATTTGTTACTGTCACAATGTGAAATTCCTTATTTTTACGCATAGCATATTTATTCTTTTCCCTGCACATTTTTTTTTTTTTTTTAGAATTATTTCAATATGAAGTCATAAATATGTACATGTCCAAATTATCAGTTAGGGAGAACATGCTAAAAAGGCAAATTTATTTAAATTCATTTTCTTTATGAATTTCATACATGTACAGGTTCAGTACAATATGTAAACTTGATACAGGTTACAAAAATTTTAATTTGCATAATGTAGTACGTCGCTCACTTACGATGTTAATGTATCCCTGAAAATTGTTTGCAAGTTGATTGTTCAGAACCCAGGACCTGTTTTCCCTTAGATGTGTTCTTGGGACATAATATTCCATATCTAATTTTATTTAATTTTTTACTGAGAATCTTAGCCCAATATTTTAGGTTCAGTACTGATCATCACTTACAAATAGTAATTAAACATTGTTTAAATAATGTTTACAATATACTATGGTCACATGTAAAACAGCTAACAACAACTAAAATTCAAAATTTGGTCATAGTTCGTGTGGTTTGGTGTTCTTTTCCTTTTGACTTGGTGCATATACATACTGGCTCCGCGTGTGTTAGTGTGTGAATAGGTAATAGTTCAAGTTGGACTGAAACAATGTCATAAGTTTCTGCTATGTGCAGGTTATTTGTGACGAGACCAACCATATGATCTCATTCAAAGTATGTGCATTGGGTTTCCATGCCCAAATATGTTTTTTTTCTGGTCATTCTTTCTTACAAGCATCAGTATAAACCAGTTCAGAGTGATATTTATAAAAAATATATTTAAAAATAGCAGACACACGAAGACAAGAGTGAACTGTGTGTTGTGGCAGTGGTTACTAAGTCTTAGCAGTATATTCTGCTACTGCATCCTTTGCCCTCCATGGTTGCAAATTCTTCCACCTATTGGAAGAGCAAATCTGTTCATGAGTCATTCATTGGGTCTAAAGTGCCAGTGTTGTAAAAGTGAAATTTTGTAATTCTACGACATACTGTATTGACTTAGTGTCCTAACCTTTTTTTAATTTTGTTGAGCCTGTTGTTGAGTCTAAATGTAACATACCAGATGCAAGGTTAGGTTTTATTTATTAAACATCCATTAAAAATGCTGTTCTAATTTATTGAATTGCAAATTGTTTTTCATAGAAAGGTACTGTACTAAGATGCCAAGTTGTTTTATGAAAAACTATGAGCCACTTGAGCAACATCAACTTTAGAGAAGGAAAATCATACCTATCACAATTATTAGAACATTACAAAATTGCTATGGTTTTGGAAGGAAAACAAAAAGAGCCGACGTGGTCTACATGACTTTATGAAGGCATATGACAAATGTGACTGACCCAGGTTGGATCCTGAGCCAGGTGGAAATGTTAGACATGTTTCATTGCACTTGCTGCCCTTGTTCACCTAGGATTGAATATGTATCCATAGAAAAAGGTTTGTAATAAGTAATACATTAAAGAAAAAAAAAAGAGGATAAATAAGTATACAAGATATAATATAGCATGTAATGAAAATAGTTTGTTAGATTATGTATTATGTAAAGGTTGATGGGTAGACTTCAGGATGTGCATGTTTACAGAGGGGCAACAGATATATCAGATCATTAGTTGCAACTACAGTTAGAGCAAGAGGTAGATGGAGCAAAAAGAATACATTAACAGCAAGTAAGAGAAAGGTGAAAGTTTATAAACTATGGGAGGAGGAAGTTAGGGTGAGATATAAGCAACTATTGGCAGAAAAGTGGGCTAATGAGAGTATAGGTAGTATGGGGGTTGAAAGGGGGTGGGATAGTTTTAAAAAGGCAGTGTTAGAAATCGGAGCAGAAGTTTGTGGCTATAGGAGGGTAGGTATAGGAAGAAAGAGGAGTGTTTGGTGGAATGATGGGTAATGGGTGTGATAACAGAGAAAAAGGTCACTTATGAAAATTTTTCACCAAGCAGAAGTGATATAAGAAGGTTGGAATATATGGAGAGGTGAAGAGAGTGGTGAGGGAGTGCAAAAGGAAAGAAACGATAGAGTGGGTGAGGCACTGTCCACAAATTTTGCTGAGAATAAGAAAAAAATTTGGAGTAAGATAAATAGGTTAAGAAAGTCTAGGGAACAAATGGATTTGATAGTTAAAATCATAATAAGGGAGTTGGAGGTATTGGGAAGATGGTGGGAATACAGTGGTCCCCCGCTTTTCGTAGTTCCCAGCAATCGTAAAATTCGCCAATCATAAAGGTATTTTCGTATAAACATGGACTCGCTTTTCATAGGTTGACTCGCGAGTCGTAGTTCGTCCGGGACGCGTACCCACGGCGTGAGCCAGGGCGGCAGCCAGTCTGGCATTGTTTACCAGTGAGCGAAGGTCCCCTCACGTGCTCCAGCGAAATATTTCATAATATTCCATTTATTTTAGTGCTTGCAAGTACTAAATAAGCTACCATGGCTCCAAAGAAAGCTCCTAGTGCCAAGCCTGTGGTAAAAGAAGGTGAGAAATACGATTGAATTTAAGAAAACCATCATTGAACAATATGAAAGTGGTACAAGTGTGGCCGAACTGTCCAGGATGTATAAGAAACCCTACACAACCTTATGTTCCATAGTGGCCAAGAAAAATGAAATAAAGGATGCTGTTGTTGCAAAGGGAGTAACTATGCTGACAAAAATGAGATCACCAGTACTGGAAGAGGTTGAGAAGTTATTATTGGTGTGGATAAATGAGAAACAATTAGCAGGAGATACTCTTATGACTTCATTTATTTGTGAAAAGGCTAGGCAGTTACATGAAGATTTGGTAAAGAAATTGCCTGCAAATAGTGGTGAAGTGAGTGAATTTAAGGCCAGCAAAGGCTGGTTTGAGAGATTTATGAACCGTACTGGCATACACAGTGTGGTAAGGCATGGTGAGGCTGCCAGTTAGGACCACAAGGCGGCTGAAAAATTTATTTTATTTTATTATCACACTGGCCGATTCCCACCAAGGCAGGGTGGCCCGAAAAAGAAAAACTTTCACCATCATTCACTCCATCACTGTCTTGCCAGAAGGGTGCTTTACACTACAGTTTTTAAACTGCAACATTAACACCCCTCCTTCAGAGTGCAGGCACTGTACTTCCCATCTCCAGGACTCAAGTCCGGCCTGCCGGTTTCCCTGAACCCCTTCATAAATGCTACTTTGCTCATACTCCAACAGCACGTCAAGTATTAAAAACCATTCGTCTCCATTCACTCCTATCAAACACGCTCACGCACGCCTGCTGGAAGTCCAAGCCCCTCGCACACAAAACCTCCTTTACCCCCTCCCTCCAACCTTTCCTAGGCCGACCCCTACCCCGCCTTCCTTCCACTACAGACTGATACACTCTTGAAGTCATTCTGTTTCGCTCCATTCTCTCTACATGTCCGAACCACCTCAACAACCCTTCCTCAGCCCTCTGGACAACAGTTTTGGTAATCCCGCACCTCCTCCTAACTTCCAAACTACGAATTCTCTGCATTATATTCACACCACACATTGCCCTCAGACATGACATCTCCATTGAAAAATATGTGCATGAATTCCAGGAGTACATAGAGGCTGAAGGACTGAAACCTGAACAAGTGTTCAATTGTGACGAAACAGGCCTCTTTTGGAAGAAAATGCCAAAGAGAACCTTCATTACACAAGAGGAAAAGGCAATGCCAGGACACAAGCCTATGAAAGACAGGCTGACGCTAATGTTCTGTGCTAATGCTAGTGGGGATTTCAAAGTGAAGCCATTACTAGTGTACCATTCTGAAAATCCCAGTGTGTTCAGGAAAAACAATGTTATGAAGAGTAAATTGTGTGTGTTTTGGAAATCTAATAGTAAGGCATGGGTCACGAGGGAAATTTTCGTCGAGTGGTTCAATGAAGTGTTTGGCCCTAGTGTGAAGGAGTATCTCCTGGAAAAGAAATTGGATCTCAAGTGCGTGCTAGTAATGGACAATGCACCTGCTCATCCTCCAAACTTGGATGACCTAATTTTCGAGGAGTTTGGGTTCATCACAGTAAAGTTCTTGCCCCGAATACCACTCCTCTCCTCCAACCCATGGACCAGCAGGTTATTGCAAACTTTAAAAAACTCTACACAAAAGCAATGTTTCACAGGTGCTTGACTGTGACCACAGACACTCACTTGACCCTAAGGGAATTTTGGAGAGAACACTTCAGCATCCTCCACTGCCATAACCCTTATAGGTATGGCTTGGGAGGGAGTGACTACCAGGACTTTGAACTCTGCCTGGAGAAAAATTGTGGCCAGATTGTGTCGACAAGAGGGATTTTGAAGAATTTGGGACTGACCCTAATGAGCCTATGTCTGTTGTAAAATCAATTGTGTGCACTGAGGAGTTCCATGGGGTTGGATGTGAGTTTGGAGGATGTGGAAGAATTGGTGAAAGACCACAATGAAGAGCTCACCACTGAGGAGCTGCAAGAGCTTCAGCAGGAAGAGACAACACATTGCAGCTCAGAATCTTGCTGCAGAGGAGGAGGAAGAGAGATGGAAGAAGTGCCTTCTTCAGAAATTAAAGAGATTTTTACTATGTGGGTAAGATGGAAAGCTTTATGAGAAACATCACCCTAACAAGGTTGTTGCA